GTGTATGTGTTTGTTTAATGACTGCCTTCCTTGCCAGACTGTAAACCCACTCTGACATAGTGGATGGAACACAACAGGTGCCCGGTAAATAGGTGCTGAATGAAACTGTAAACTAAGTGAATGAATGAATACCAGAAAAAGAAATGTTAAATTACTAATAAGATCTCAAAAAAATCATCTTGCTGGAGCCTCGATTATTTGCCCTGTCATTTCTCATTTGATAAAAACTTGAATAAACTCTTCATTATTTGAAGATACCTCTGTAGTTACCATCGGGCTTCCCATGGGGGCTCAGTGGTAAAGACTTCAACTGCCAGTGCAGGAGATGCAGGTTCCATCCCTGGGTTGGGAAGATCCTCTGGAGGAGGAAATGGCAACCCACTCCAGTATTCTTGCCTAGAAAATCCCATGGACAGAGATGCCTGGTGGGCGGTAGTCCATGGGGTCACGCAAAGTCAGACATGACTGAGCATGCCCATACACACTATAGTTACCAAACATGAACAACAGTAGCCACAAGGGCAGCTTACTGCTTTGTCTGATTGTTTATTTCCTACGATGCTTTGTACTGTTCACTTTCCATATATTATCTTATCTTCACAAGCACTCTGAAAGGTAGAGGCTGGGGCTTTCTGTTTATTTATTTTCAGTCCCTATTTCCAGATGAGAGGACCAGGGCTCAGAGTTTAAATCACTTGCCTAAGGTTACTCAGCCCGTACATGGCAGGTGCAGAAGTGGAGGGATGTCAGGGTGGGATGGAGCACCTTCCTCTCTGCTAGCGCCCTTCCCCTCATTAACGGAGAGAACTCAGTTTCTCTCTCTTTTATAAATGGGGTGTCTGCCTTGTTTTCTTTGAATCCAGAGTTTTATGGCTAAAGAAGAATGTGAAAACCTCAGGTCTTCAAGACGAATTTGATGCCCCTTTTTCAGCCTCACGCCTTCCTGCCAGCATATCTCCTACCATGCTTCTGCCTGCAGTGGCCTGTCCTTTATTCTGCAGCCAGTGAGTCACTATGCATCTCTAGGGCACTTCCCAAACCTCACAGCAGAATGAGCTGTGCTCTCCACGTCCTCCTTCCTCCTGCAGAAAGCCTGTCCCTCCATCCCAGCAGTGCTCTTCCTCAGCAGTGGTTGATGAGTCTGTCTGCACTGCTGGGCTGAGCCTATGGAGGAGTTGGACCAGGCCTCCCTCGTCTCTGGCGCTCCTCAGCCCGGCTCGGGATCTGGCAGCGAACACTGGGGGCTCCCGCCAATGCTTGATGAGTGAATGCAGGCCAAGTGCAGAGCGGGTGCTCAGAACCAACCGACTGAGCCCAGAGCCTGAAATACAACTAGCCTGAGCTCACAGAACGAGATGGATATGATCAGAATGCGAGATGGATATGATCAGATGTATCACTGGTTTGGAAAGGCATTACAACATTTCCATAATAGAGTATGTTTCTTTTCTAAAACAGATGTGCCCTCGTTGTTTCATGAGGAAGTAATTAAGTGTGTTTGATTAAAACATTCATAGACGCTATCATTTATTCAAGGCTACTACTATATGCTGCTGTCTTTACTGGTACTTTATATACGTCGTGTCTGCTTCTCCCAACCCCCCGGACAAGGTGTTTTCACTATCTTCACTTCAGAGATGGAGAAACTGAGGTGGAGAGAGATTAAGTAGCTTGCCCGAGGACAGTCAGCTTCTGAGTGATAGATACAGGAATAAAACAGGTCTGGCTGTACTTCAGAATTGAGCCTTTCCATTACCTTGACTGCTTCTAATCTTGTATTTTGGATTCGTTCAGCTCAGCATCACCCTGAACCAGCATGCAGATGCCCTCTTCCTCTCAGCACTTCCTGTGCCTGGCATCCCCTCCCTCTCTTCCCTTCTCCCCCGCACCCTCACTGTACCCCCCACACCCTCACCATACCCCCCCACACCCTCACTGTACCCCCCACACCCTTCCTGTACCCCCCACCCTCACTGTACCCCCCCACTTTCTTAGATTATTGCCTCTGTATTTGCATCCTGAAACTGACATATTTTTGTCAATGTCAATAATTAAATACTACAATATGTGGAAACTGGTGTCAATAGTGGAATAGTGTCACATTTTCATTAATAAATATAAAAAATACTTTATTAAGGCCAAATTACATATATTATGATTTTGTTTTCTTTATGTAGCCATTTACTCTCAAGATTTTTTGAGTCCCAATTTGTATAATTTTGAACATGTGATTTTTTTCCCTCCATGTAAAATATAACAGTGTAGTAAAATACATTTTTAAATTTTTTTAAAGGCTGTCTAAAAAGCAAGCTATTTCAAATTATATATGAAATGTTAGATTGAAATACTTCTCTGTAAAGAAGTTTAAGAGCTTTCTTACAGACTTAGATTCATTTATTTTCTGCCCCTCCTAGTGTTTCAGCAGGATTAAGTTTTTTGAATCAGCGGATCAAGTTTTAATTTTCCTGTTCCTTCCTTATACTGACATATGCTTTGGCAGAACAAAAAAGAGACCTAAACATGTCAGCATGATTTTTGTTCAATGAATTAAAAACCATAAAAGTAACAAGATCTGATCCAAATCCCTAAACTCCTGACATGGTGGTTTTGTCCTTTTCAGTCCCAAGATTCATATTACTGACTTTGAAAAAAGCTTTCTGCCTGGAAGCAGAAGTAATGGCAGCAGCACATAATTTATTTGAAATAGACTGCAAGGATAGGCAGCCTGGAGTAGGGGGAAGAATGCAGCCTGGAAAGATCTGAATTTGAATCCCAGTTCTGTCACTCAAGACCACAGGCTAGTTACTTAATGCCTGTGTACCTCAGTTTCCTCATTGGAAAATGGGGGTTTTAGAATCTAGTTTGATGAGTTGTAAGGTTCAGTGAGGGAATAAAGTACTCACCTAGCATTGAGGGGTTTAATACTGGTAGGAGTCAGGATTATATTCATTTTGAGAATATTTTGAGAATTTGAGAATTTTTGTGAATTCAAATAGTTGGATCCAGAAGAATTTATTTATCACTCAGCTGTCCACTTTATCTTCACAGCTTGTCCTGTCTCAAAATTCTTTCATTTTTTTCTCATCCTATCAGAGAAAAAGTACTAGGTACAAGCCACTAAATCTTTAACTCCTATTTGTCACTGTTTCACATGGAACACTTATACCCAGGATTTGCGATTATCCTTCACAAGCCAGAACCATGTTGACTTAAGGGTCAGGAACCATATGCCAGTGATGTCCAGTTCAGAATTCAGGAGGCAGAGACTTTTTTCATACTGACACCATTGGCTTTTGAAGCAGGCCAACATAGGTTTGGCTTTGTTTAAGATACCAAAGTTTTCCATCCCTAAAATGGAGTTTGTGATCTTAAAAGACCCTCTGTGATACGGCTTGCCAGCCTCTTTTCCTGTTACTCCCTTCTTTGCTATCTCTGCTCCATTTGGTTCTTCACATGACCACAATCTCCTGGTAACCTAAAGCCTTTGTGCATGCTTTTTCTTCCTCTTGAAAATCCCTACCAATGCTGGCAACTCACATGTATTCTTTAGATCCTTGTGGGCTACTAGTCAGGATAGGATGAGCAGTGCTGTAGTAGTCGTCCCCCAAATTTCCATGGCTCAAACAGTAGAAACATTTCTCGTTCATGCCAAGTGGGGCATTGTTCACCATTGTCTCTCTGGGACCCAAAGTGATGGAAGTTCCCTCTCAACTTGCACTGCAGCCAGCGGGAACAAATGTGGTAGGGTGCATGTGAGCTCATAATGGTGACACCCATTCTGCTCACATCTCATTGGCCAAAGGAAGTTGTGCAGCCACACCAAACTTCAGAGGGGGCAGGAAGTGCATTCCTACCGGAAGGAATAAGAATCAGAATACCAGTGAACAAACCTAATGACAGCCACACTCAGATATTGTTTCCTCAGGAAAGTCTTCCCTCCCCCAACTGACCGCTCCCCAAACACGGACACGCTCTCTTGTAAAAGTCTCTTTACTTAGCTCTTGGGCTAGCTAAGCTCCCTCAGAGCAGGACAGAGGTCTGTCACCTTCATTGTAGCACGCTTGGTGCACAACCAGCATTCTGGTCCTGACAGGTAGTAGTGTGCACACGAGCAAGAAACCAAGACAGGACAAGCATGTTGGCTTTTGCGATGATTAGGTGTAAAATAGGAATAATAACTGCTTCATACAATTTTAAGGGTCAGCTTACAAAAAGTTCTCGAGTGCTTGTCCCAGAGATTTATAATAGGCCTTCAGTGTGCTCATGGTTGTTATTATGATAAGGACATTAGTAGTTAAAATAACTGACATTTATTAAGCATGTTTAATATGCCAGACACTCTCATGGGTACTTTAAGGAAGTTAAATGGTAGAGTATTCTCATGTGTTGTGTCTGGGTCAGTGCTAAAGCGATTCACAAGTAATTTGTCATGATAATAGTTAAGATTCTGAAGGCTACTACTTATTTGTTTTGGATGATTTAGAGGTATAGAGATGATACTGTTTCTGTAGCATCTCATTCATTGGCATTTTTTTCTTTAGTCGGAGACAAAGGGGTGGAATTACAGCTAATAGTTGCTTTGTTTTAAAATGTGCCAGGGTCAATGTTAAACAAGTTACACAGACCATTCTATAATCTTCACACCACCCCTTTAAGTCAGGTACTGACAATCCCATTATACAGATGGGAACCCTGAGGAAGGGAAGTCAGTTATGCATCCAATAAGAGGCATGGCCAGTATTTAACTTCAGGGCTGCCTAGACTCTCTGGCTCATGATTTTAAGCAGCACACTTACTGGCTGTCCTCAGTCATCTCACCAGGAACCTTCCTTGACCCTGAGCATCCTCCTGGGCGTGTGTCAGGAATGTGAAGATCTTCTCCTGACGGAGAGTACAGTTATAAACTGCTGAGCTAGTGCATAAAGTGATGTTGAATTCTTGGCAGGCAGTTCATACATGGGATGATTGTATTGAACTTTTTTTTTTTTGTCTTTTATCAGAGTAACCCGGGAGCACAGAGAAATGCTGGTGAAGCTGGCTAAACAGAACACGAACAAGGCCAAAGACTCTTTACGGAAGGTTCGTACCAATGCAATAAACAAGGTGAAGAAATCAAAGGACAAGGCCTCCGAGGATACCATTAGGCTCATAGAGAAACAGGTACTATTGCCAACAGATGTCATATTTACATATCTGACCCAGAAAATCATTGTTCACATCTGAAGTGAAGAAAACGAAAACAGAGTACCCCCAGTTCTTTCACTGACATGATTGGCATTGGCTGAGTCTGTCCTGGGCTGGACCCTGGGAATACAGAGGAGGGGAGAGGAAGCTGCTGACCTTACTGTGTTCCGCTCTCACCTGAGCACTTTACAACACTTAATTATCCCCGTCACTGCAAAGTGAGGTGGGTGAGTGGTGAGGAAACTGGGGTTCACAGGAGGGAGGTAACTTGCCCAAGGTCACACTCTGGTCAGTGGTAGCTGTAACACCCAAGCCAGCAGACTGATCTCAGAGCCTGTGCTCCAGGACTCTCCTGTCTGTGCTTGGCTGTCTGGGTGCTGAGATGTGAGGACCTGGCCCTGTTTTTAGTGTGCTGAGTGAGGGCACTTGAACAAGTCTTAAAGGAGCGACTGGAGCGAAACGGAGACGAGGGGGAATGGGTAACAGCATGTACAAAGGTGTGGTGATGGAAAAGGGCACTGTTCAGTGAGATGACTGTGGCTTGGACCCAGGATGACATAGGGAAAGGGCAGAGGTGACAGTGGCCAGCTCACTGTGGGTTTCCTGTACCAGGTTGAGGAGTTTGAACTTTAACATGTCCAGAGGTTCCCATGTTGGCTCTGCATCTTTATTGGTCATTCGTGGCCACACTGATGCTACATAACATACTACCTCGAAATTCAGTGATGTGTATTTCAAGCATTTTCTTATTCCTGTCTCTGTGGGTCAGCTGGGAGGTAGCTCTTCTAGGCTGAGCTCGATGTGGCTCAGCCATTGGGACTTCCCAGGTGACTCTAGTGGTAAAGAACCCACCTGCCAATGCAGGAGATGCAAGAGATGCAGGTTTGAGCCCTGGGTGGGGGAGATCCCCTGGAGAAGGAAATGGCAACACACTCCAGTATTCTTGCCTGGAGAATCCCATGGACAGCTGGCGAGCTACAGTCCATAGCATCGCACAGAGTTGGACACAACTGAAGTGACTTAGCATGCACCTTCTCAGATCTTGGGGCTTAAAGTCAGCTCTGCATCTCTCTCAATCTTCTGGAGTCAACAAGCTTCCCAGGGCATCTTTTCACGGCAACAGCAGATGGCAAGAGCATAAGCTACTCAAGTACATTTTAAGCACCTGCTCTTTTCACATTCCACTGGCCAGGCAAATCTCATGTGCCAAGCCCAATATCACTGTGGAAGGGAAGTATATATGTTCATGGAGGTCTGGGGGAGGGGGTGAATACTTCTTGAGCAATAATCTAATCTGCCGCGGCATTAGAGTCACTTGAGCTAATAAAAATATGGTTATATGGGGCCCCTGCTCCCAGAGATTCAGTCAGCGAGTCAGGGGTGGGGCCTAGGGTTCAGCATTTTAAAATGCTCCCCAGGTGATTGTGATGCAGTGGCTCCCTTGAATGATTATTTTTTCAGAGCATTATTTTTTCAGCAGAGCATCACACTTGTGTTTGAAGGTTGACTGTGGTGGCTGGGTGGAAACCAGATTGTAAGGGGCATAACTGGAAGTTGGGAGGCTGCTGCAGGAATCCAGCCAGGAAATGATGATGGCCTGAACTTATGTGGTACCCATGTAATTAAGACAGAAAGATTAAAAAAAAAAAAAGACAGAAAGATGATTTACCAGTATTGAGGAGACAGAATGTTTAGCTTATAAGCATTATAAGGGGCTTTTCCAAAGCCTCCATCATCCACGATAAAAGCATTATGTTATGAAGATTGAACAGGAGTGTGAGCAGGATAGGGCATAAAGAGGAAAGATGGGGAGGCTAGGAGAGTCGTTAGGGGGTCATGAGGACCCCTTCAATTGACTGTTCCTTCCTCTTAGACTAACAGAATGCTAGTCATAGAGCAGGCCCAACAGTTACTCAGGGAAGAATTTTAGATGAATGTCTGGGCCTCCTACATTTTCTGATTCAGTCGGTCTGTGCAGGAATGTGTATTTTTGGAAGGCTCCCCAGACAAGGAAAAACGGAAGAGGCAGTGGCGCGGAAGCATGGCAGTGTACCCCTGTCGTGGCACCGGGGTTAGAGAGGGGTTCTACACTCGGTGTCTCGGGACCTTGGGCAAGTTCTTGGAGCCTGTTTCCTCTGTGAAAAGGGGCTTGGAATTCCCGCTGTGAAGGGATGCTCTGGGGATGCTGGAAGCACAGTGCGAGTGTCTGACACTGAGCCCCTCAGGGCTCGGCTCCTGCCCGCCCTCTGGCCTCCTTTTTCTCTGCATTGGCTCACAGAGACTCGTAGGCCGGCCTGGCCTTTTCTGAGCACTCACTAGGCCTTGTGAGAGCCCAGCTGGGCCAGCTCCTTGTCCATCTCCCAGGGGATTTCATCGCTGTAGCAGACACTTGGCCTTTTCGTTGCTTTCCGGTGGTGAGCCTGTGACCTCTGATGCCCTTCAGGCACTCTCTCAGCAAGTCTGGGCCTCTGCCTCAGGGGCTAGAGGCCATGCTCCTTGGAAAAGGAAGAACGATCACATAACCGGCACTTGTTTTTTTTTAATGTCTTCTTGTACTTTAAGAAAAAAAATTATTCAAGTAACGTTAATTTATAACACTGTATATATATTTCATGTATACATTATTCTACAACGTTCTTTTTCAACTTCTGTATACACTATGGTATGTCCATCACCAGAAGTTTAGTTTCCATCCATCACCATACACAGTGACCCCTCCTTTAACCCTTTTGCACTCCCCTCACATTTTCGGTGTAGGCCTTCAGGTTATCTCTGTAAACATATATGGAATATTACAAGAAAAAAGGTCATGCTATATGTAGTATTACATGATACATCCAGTGCATTAATCTTTATTATTTAAGATATTATCACTTAAATGTTAGCTTTTACCATTGTTGTTAATAACTTTTAATTATTGTCATATGGTTAAAAGTTTGGGTAAGAAAATATTCAGGAGACAGCCATGTGCGCACTTCATTTTTTTCTTGTTTCCCCAATAGAAGGCATCAATCTGGAGTTTTGGGTGTGCTTATTTATTGTTGTTATTTATTAATTTGTTTAAGCAAGACAGGAACTAATTTCTGCTTTATCAAAAAGCTTTTATAATGTATTTTTGAATTTTGTTTCTGATTATCAAAGCAGTGTAGGTTCATTGTAGAAAATGTAGAGAATTCAGAAGACTTTAAAAATGGGAAAAATTCACCCTATAGTCCTGGATTTGGGGATATTTCTCCTTTTCCCCCCTTTTTAACTACTTAGTTTTAAAAAAATGTTTGGTAGTTTATTTATTAGTGTATCCTTTATTTGTTCTGTTTATTTTTTGGTTGTTTGACCCTGCTGGGCAGCATGTGACATCTTAGTTCCCTGACCAGGGATCAAACCCATTCCCCTGCATTGGCGGTGTGGAGTCTTAACCTCTGGGCTGCCAGGGAAACTTGGGAACTTAACTGCATAGTTTTTAACATGATCAAACAACTTTCTATCCAGTTTTTAATTTTCTGTTTAGCATTAAGATTATTAGCATTTTCTTCTTAAGAAACTCTTTGTAAACAGCCACACTCTGATGGTTGCAAAATAGTCCATCTTGTGGTTATACTGTAATTCACTTTCATAAGCCCTCTTTTTGGACATTTAGTTTGTTTAAACTTTTTTGTTATTATAAATAAGGTTGCAGTGAATGTTTTATACATAGATCTTTGTTGAGATGACTTTCCTAGGATAGAGTCTCATGTATGGAATTATAGCACAAGGAAAATGCATATTTTTAAGGTTCTTGTTTTGTACTGTCTAAATCACTTGCAGGGTGTTTAGAATATGTGTATTTTAAAAATTCTTGGCCTTTTCTAATCCTTGACATTTGAACCTAGCATTTTTGATGTGAACTTAAAGTGTTGCTTACCTTGGAAGTATTGCTTTTACTTCCACATTCCGCAGAAAAGATTTATTCTTTCTATAAATCCATAAACCTTTCTAGATGATAATATACCTATGCATTTCTGATTTATCGACTTGGGGATTTATCCAAAATAACTTCTCAAGAATCTTATCTACAGAGTTGTACGTTGATGTATTATGTATAATAGAAAGCTGGGGAGAATTCCCTGGCGGTCCAGTGGTTAGGGCTCCATGCTTCCCCTGCAGGGGACAAAAGTTCCATCCCTGGTCAGGGAAGTAAGATCACACATGCCGCGTGGCGCAGCTGGAAGAGAAAAAAACAACAACCTGAAAACTGTCTAAATTTCTGATAGTAGGAAAATAGCTTGTTTTACATCCATTCACTGGACTCTCTATTATAGACATAAAAACACTTTGCAGCCACAGTGAGTTTTCCTTTTTAAGGTAAGATGCAAAAACACTTTTTATTAAGTTTCATGTATGTGAAAAGTTTGATCAGCTTATTTACTTCAAAATATTAATGGTGGTCACTTGGATTATGAACAACTGTAATTTTTTTCTTTGTGAAATTTCTTTTTAAAAATTTTTTCCAAAATTCTTTTGCGGTCAGATTTTTTAAAAAAGCTATATTATTAAAGTGTTTCGTCTTTTGTGTACGAGAATAAAAGGGTTCAGTGGTATGTTCTCTCCACGCAGTCATGTCTGACCCCTACCGCTTCCCCCACAGCCTTCCCAATCCCCAACCCAGGCCAGCTCTGCTGAAGAAGGACCAGAGTCTTCCCACTTGGGACTCTTGACATCTGCCAGCCTGCTGTTTCACCTTTGCTTCAGTTTGCTACAAGTGGGTCTGCTGAACATTAAAGCACTTGGCAGAAACCCCCAGTAAACCTAGCCAAGATCCTTTCACTGCTCCCTTTTTCTGAGACACAGCCATTCCGAAGTGAAGCTGGGTGCTCGTGGGGCTGAAGGGCTCCTGTGCCGGCAGGCAGGCAGGTAGGCTGGGCTGAGCGAGGCAGTGGGCAGGAGACACACCCCACGGCACTGTGGGTGTGCTGAGCTGTGCTCCCCAGCTCTGCCCCACGGGTATCTGGCGGGCTCTTACCATCCCCCTTTTCCGTCTCCGCCTCTCATTGTCCTGAACGTATAAGGAGCCAGCGTTGATGATGACAGTCGTGACCATGACAGTGATGGCACTGATGATGTTATCCTCTTCATGAGGCAGCGTGTTGTAATAGAAAGAGCTCCTGCTGTGAAGACTGGCCTGAGTTCAAATCCTAGCTCTTTCATGTCTCCGCTTTTAAGGTCAGCAAATGACCTCACCTTCCTGCGCCTGTTTCTTCATCTGTAAAGGGGAAACAGTAATGCCTGTCTCACAGGATTTGGCAAGAGGACCAAATGTCACAGAATACTTAAAAGCAGCTAGTGTGCTGGCTGGTCTTCAGCAGTCATTTGTCCTATTTGTCCATCCTGCTCCTCTCCCAACCTTGTGACTTTCACTGTGGGACGGGGATGGACAGTTTTAATGAGTCTAGCACAGCCTCCTTTGACTGAAGAAGGGCTAGGCCAGGTGCTGTGGGCTCCCTGAGGGGAGGAGCAGCACCACACTAGCAGTCCAGGGTGGGTGAGTTCTTGGCTCAGTCACATCACTGACTTTTTATGTGATCTTGGGCAGGTCAGTTAAAATCCCATGCCGTGGTCTACTATCCTGTAAAATGGGGATAATATCTGTCCCATCTGCCTTATGGTATAGGTATGTGAGGTTGTTGGATCTGAATGAAGTCACAGAGGACAAAACACTTCTGCGTAGTGTGAACTGTTGTGCAACTATCAGGTGAAATAATATTAAAAGGAGATCAAACCAGTCAATCCTAAAGGTAGTCAGTCCTGAATATTCACTGGAAGGACTGATGCTGAAGCTGAAATACTTTGGCCAGCTGATGGGAAGAGCCGACTCATTGGAAAAGAGCCTGATGCTGGGAAAGATTGAAGTCAGGAGGAGAAGGGGGCAACAGAGGACGAGATGGTTGGATGGCATCACTGACTCAGTGGGCATGAGTTTGAGCAGGTTTCGAGATGTGAAGGACAGGGAAGCCTGGTGTGCAAAGGTTGCAAAGAATGGGACAGGACTGAGTGACTGAACAACAACAAAGGGAGATAATAATAGTATTTTCTATATTTTGAACATGATGTGAAGTAATGCATGTAAAGTTTTTAGCCCAGTGTTTGGCTCTTAGTAAATAGATGCTGTTGTTTGTATCCTTGTTGTTAATCATTGTTATTTTAAGATGGATAAGAACTTGAAGGTGGACTGTCCCCAAGGGCACTCTGTGCCTGTAATATGGCAGAGAGTTAGTAAATATTTTCATTAATTGATTAATTTAAAAAGAAGTTAGAAAGTGATAGTAAAAATCAGAGTAACACAAGCAACATTTGCATAGCAAATAACCAGTTTAAACATACTTGCATATTCATGATCTTATTTAACCCTTACAATTCCTTTCTGAGGGAGGGACTCACATCCCCATTGGAGAGATAAGGAAACTGAGACTCAGGGTGGGGAAATGACTGGCATCCCGTCACCCCACTGAGAACTGAAGCCAGAACCATGTTACCAGCCAGTTCCTCCAGGTACCCTTCTGCCCCTTAGTCCCAGTCTCTGTCCTCAGGCGTCATCTTTCCCGAGGAGGCTTGCAGCCCTCGTTCCTGGCTGTCTCAGGCTACCAGCATGCGGGTGCCGGAGTGCTGCTGGGCACCACGCCACACCCCACACAAGGAGGCTGCTTGGGGTGGGGGCACAGGAAGCCTTTCGGGGGCTTGTGCCAGCTGAGTGAGGATCCCAGGCAGCCGCTCTGAGCTGGTCCTGTTCGGAGTGCCCAGCAGCCCCAGAGCTTTGCTCTCCCCTCCTCCAAAATGTGCAGCTGTTGCTATGGCAAGAGTCTGGCTGTCTCCCTGCCTGGGACCAATTGCTCCAAATCCTTTTTAGTTGCTATCCTTTCCAGGGCATTTATTTCCCAGTTCCTGGCCAAGGCCTGTGGTCTGCAAATAAAGATGTCAAACAGCCGCTGTGCTGAGCACACAGAACTGGGGACCACACTGCCGCCTTCAGAGCTTCTGCCTGAGGCCTCTTAGACATGGGACTGCAGGCTTGCAACACTCACTCAGTTGTACTGTCTCTTTTTTCATTCTTAGAGGGAGTTTATGTTTCCTGCAGAAAATGTGGAGGATACAGAAAAGCACAGAAAACTAATAATTATTCATTTAGGAAATATTTCCTGAGCTCTTGCTATGGACTAAGTTTTATGCTGAATGTGACAGATACCGACATGAATAATACATTTCCTGTCTTCCCATCACTAAAAGCTAATCACTAGTAATATTTTGACACGTTTTCTTCCAGTTTTAAAAATATGCATATTTTAAATATATTTGAGATAATTTCTACTATGTATATACACATTTTGTATTATCTTTTTTCTTGAATTCAAGGGTAACATGGGCATGTTTCCATGATGTTATAAATAATATCTTGAAACATTATTTCTTTTTCTCTGATTACAAAAGCAATCTATGCTTGTTATAAAACAGACATGTCAGAACTGTATACTGGAATGTTATTTGTATTTTTACCCTCTCCATGAGAAGTAGACAGTCTTAACCCTTTTTAATGACTATATGTATTCAATTACATATACTATCATTTTAACTTTTCTTATTTTTGATTATAAGCTTTGATAAATATCTTTGCATGTAGACCTTAAGAACATTTTCTCAGATTTTATTCATGTGATGATTTCCCAGTTGAGAGAATTTGGGGTTAAAATGATATGAACACTTGCATCAATTTGACTCCCTATCCATGATATGTGAGTTCATCCATTTCACCACAGCTCTGGTATTGACTATTATAATTAAAAACCGCAACATCAAATTTTGTTAACTGTGATAACTAAATTATATCTTGGTTTAATTTGCATTTCTTCAGTGTCTATTGAATTTTCCATGTTTGTTAACCAGATGTACTTCATCTTTTTTCAAGATTTTTTTTTCTGCTTGTTTATTGGCATCTTAATATTCTCTTTATCAATTGGTATGAGGGCCTTACATAGCAGAGTGTCTGAAGTGTAGGAAATTCTAGAGTCTCATTAAGGGACCGATTAGATTGGCTTCTCTGTGCTGGTGTGATTGTTACCTGTTTGGGGGCTCTGCGGTCAGACTACCCAGGATTAAATTCTTGTCATTGCTACTTTACAGCCATGGATCCTGAACAAATGATTTTAACTGCCTCAGTTTCCTCATCTGTGAAATGGGGACATAACACTGTCTCATGGTGTCTATTTCTTCCTGTCCAGAGTCAGTAAGAGCATATATACAAAGTTCTTAGTTCAGTGCCTGGCTGGGATGCAATTCACATGAGCTTTTGTTACCATTGTTATTTCCCAGATAACCTTCACAGTTCCAGAACATTTCTCCCCCTCCACTTCTCAGCCCCAGTTACCAGGTTGTCTCATTTTGTTTTTCTGCAGATCAGCCAAATGGCCGACGACACAGTTGCAGAGCTAGACAGGCATCTGGCCGTGAAAACCAAAGAACTCCTTGGATGAAAGCCCAGCAGGGGCAGCAGTGCTCCAGAGCCCAGTTCCTAGTGGATCCCACGGGTGGCAAATCGGCACTTCTCTATTCCATCCATACGGAAGGCTGTCACCTCACAGCTGTCAGTCCTGGTGGCTGACCGCCCTCCAGTGGGACACTGTTTATTCTCTTCCTCCTGTCCCCTGACCACCGTATCTGCTCCGGCCCTTCTGGCATGGGTGGTCCTCAGAGACGCTCTGTTGCTGACAGAAGGCCTGCACTTGGACCATTTGTCCTGACCGTGACGTCACTAAGCTGTCAGGACCATTGGCAGGCTTGCCACTGTCTGCTCCTCATCTCGGGAGCCTCCTTTTCAGACAATTAGTCAGGCCCTGTCCCCACTTTTGAACTCTGCTTGAGCCAGTGTGAGCCTTCACCCGTGTTGGATACCTTTGCTAGAGGTCCATTTTCACCAAACGGTAAAACCTAAATAAATTGGAAAGAATAAAAAGCACAAAGGAAACGATGGGATCGGTCTGGATTCATGATCTCCGAGGACAGTGTGTAAAGCATCCAGAACAGTGCTCTTGCTCTTTTCCCTTACCATCCTCCCACTCCTTGCCTGGCCGGTCCTGTTCACCCTTGGGTCTCAGCTTGGATAGCGTGTCCTTTCCCCCTGCCCCAACCTAAGATGCCTGTTATTGGCTCTCCTAGCACTGTCCACTGCTTTTTTTTATCTGAACCTTAATATTCTTTTTGATAATTAGTATGTATATTTTTAGTTTCCTTACACATTGGCATAATGTCTGGAACATAGTGAGCATTCAGTGTGTTGTGAATGAATGGCACATAGAAGCTGCTCAACAAATGCTGGCTGCTTTTCCTTTCTTTGCACTCTGAACACGGTTCTTCTGTCATTTTTCGCTCTTGCCTCTGTCCTCAGCATTTACTCAGTAAAGAGATCTCTGTCCCCAGGGCCTGTCTGTTACTGATGGACAAGTTGTTTATTGTGGCGTATCTTTGGGTACTAGGTTAAATTACGTTGTCCCCCCAGTAATTCTTTTCCCTTTGTTCATTTATTCGGTCATTCATTCATAATCTAGCCATCATGAGCTAGATTCTTAACACTTCTAGGTAATCTTTTTAATCCTCACAGTAAACTCACAAGATGTTTTGCAAATAGGAAAACTAAGGCATGACGATATCAGATAACTTTCCCAAAGTGTTAGAGGGTTTCATTGTCAGCCTCATTTTACAGAGAGGGGAGAGCTCAGAGAGGTTCACTCTCTTGCCCGGGATTACACAGCTATCAACGGGCAGACCTGGGTGTCACAGTGAGGCCTGATCTCAATCCTGTGCTCTGCCCACTGCATCCTGCTGCCTTCACAAACGGTGGAGCGCCCACTTTGCGCCAGGTACTGTGCTCCGTGCTGGGACTACAAAGATTGGGGAGACACGGCCCCTGTCTTGAGAGGTGCATGGTCACTGGACTGTGTTGCTGTCTGTGGTCTCTTGGCCGGAAAGTAGAAGGTCTATTCCAGTTCTGCCAGATGTCTGCCTTTAGAACAGAACCCTCTCTGGCGGCAGCAGGGCCTGGCTACATTCCTGCCAAGCAGCATCCACATTCTCTCTGCTGTTTGCTTCCCCTCAGACTCTGTCCCCTGTGAGAGGTAATAAAGGTTGCGCTTCTCCCTCTGCTTGTACTGGCAGAACACGCTGCACAACAGCCAGTGGGATTCAAGGTCAGAATTAGGTCAAAGATGAAAGAAGGGAACACAGTCTCCAGCCCCGCTTACCTGTCCTCAGTCCAACTGCATTCACCAGCCCCGAGTAGCCATCTCACGGTCAGAAGTCAGCCAGGGGGAGGGACAGGGAAAGAAACAGCAATCAAGGGAGATATTTTTTAGGGGGTAAGCCACATGGCAGGGGCTTTGCAGCAGTCTTTTGTGAGTGGCTGAAATCCCCCACTCACTACAAATGTGCTGCTCAAAGATGCAGGATTTTTTAATAAACAGAGGAAATGATAAATTATGTTGTAACTCCACTCCAAAGGCATTTGGTTCTTAACAGCCAAATCCTCTGTAGTCTTTAAATAAACAAAAACTTATTTGGTGAACAGACGGGGAGGAAAATGAAAGATTTTCTGTACTTGGGTTCCACATGTCAACAATTTCTCTCCTGTGTGTATGTTGGCCAAAGCCGTATATCATGATAAATGAATAAAGGAAAACCTCGAGCCCAGGGCAGTCAGACGGCTCAGCAAATGGCTTTCAGCTGATTGCTCTATTTCGGTTGACATTTATCAAAGGGTTTCTCTGCTACCCTGCATGTCAGGCCTGCCGTGGTGGCAGGGACGAGAGGGAAACTACCTGTGTGGATGTGCTGAGGAGTGAGCGATGCTGGAGCCATTCATCCTCCCTTCTCGAGTCTCTCTTTCACAAAGAAAACCCAGGTATGGAAATTCTGACACTTGCCAGAAAAATTAACCACGTCCTCTACTCAGTTCAACGGCTTTCAAAGTCCCATGAAAAATACAGGCCAAAGAGAATTTGGGAACTTCTTTATCTGTTTATTTTTTCTTCTTTCTTGAGTATGTGTATGTGTGTGTGTTAGAAATTACAGAAGAAACTGGAAGGTAAAAAGTTAAGCATCTCTTACAAATCCTGAATTGCATACTCCCCTTTAACAATTAGATGTATGTACTTGCAGACCTTTCCCTATGTGTGTGTAATTTTTTGAAAAACAGGGATGTGCACCATTCTGTTTCTGTTTTGAAACTGGACTTTTTTTTTTTTTAACTCAACATATCATGGCCCTCTAGCCCCTTTTTCATTGCCTTACAGTATTCCATAATAAGGATGTAATATAACTTATTATCACTCCCATGGTATTTTAAAAAATAATTTCAACTGCGTTGGAAGATGTTTCTATTTATTTATTTTGAGAAAAAAGAATCCCTCATCTAAGTTGATCTCTTTTGAGGCCCTAGTCAGCCTCAGACTACCATTTATTAAGTCCCTCCTGTAAACCAGGTACATTACTGAACATTTTACATGTGTTACTACATTTAAATGTCCGAACAGTCCTAGTTGGTGTAGGCAAGACTCCTATCTGTGATTACATATTAGAAAATCAAGATTCAGAAAGGCTACACACAGCTCTTAATAGTAAGTGCTGGAGTGAAGTTTGAGACTCGGATCTAACTTTTAAGTGGGGCCCCTGATCAATGCGCTTCAGTTTTTTAATTGTTCATTAAGTACTGACTCAGAATGTGCCCAGCAGTTTCTGGGCCCTGAGGGTGATATGAGGGAGGCAGAGAGCTCACTTTTTTTTTTTTTTTTTTATTTTTTATCACAACCATAGTGTATTTTTTTTTTTTTTTTTACATGTATTCCCCATCCCGGTCCCCCCTCCCACCTCCCTCTCCACCCAATCCCTCTGGGTCTTCCCAGTGCACCAGGCCCGAGCACTTGTCTCATGCACCCAACCTGGGCTGGTGAACTGTTTCACCCTAGATAATATACGTGTTTCAATGCTGTTCTCTTGAAACATCCCACCCTCGCCTTCTCCCAGAGTCCACAAGTCTGTTCTATACATAGGAGTCTCTTTTTCTGTTTTGCACATAGGGTTATCGTTACCATCTTTCTAAATTCCATATATATGTGTTAGTATACTGTAATGGTCTTCATCTTTCTGGCTTACTTCGCTCTGTATAATGGGCTCCAGTTTCATCCATCTCATTAGAACTGATTCAAATGAATTCTTTTTAATGGCTGAGTAATATTCCATGGTGTATATGTACCACAGCTTCCTCATCCATTCGTCTGCTGATGGGCATCTAGGTTGCTTCCATGTCCTGGCTATTATAAACAGTGCTGCGATGAACATTGGGGTACACGTGTCTCTTTCAGATCTGGTTTCCTCGGTGTGTATGCCCAGAAGTGGGATTGCTGGGTCATATGGCAGTTCTATTTTCAGCTTTTTAAGAAATGAGAGCTCACTTTTATAAAATGATTAGAAAACTCTTTCTAGCAAAGGGCTGCATGCAGAACAGTCCGGTGGCTGGCACATAGACAACAGTGAAGAAATGGTAGCTCTTACGGAGACAGTCAAGATTACATATTTATTCCTCCTCTAGAACCTATCAGAGAATCAGGGAGCGAGCGGAAAGACCATCCAGAAGTGAATACTGATGATAACCACAGTAATAGTATTGACAGCATCAGTAACTAATATTTGGCTAGGTGCTTTTTAGTTTTCAAAGTTCTATCAATACATCCTTTATCCCATTGGAACCACTGGGCGAAGCTTTGCAAGTTCTTTTGTTCTAATAAGGGTCAGTTTTCATTATGTGTGTAAACAGGTACATTCTCTATTTTTAGGGGTGCAAGTTTTGAAATGGACACTATGGAAAATATATTTCATAGATTACATTGTTTACATTTTCTGTGTTTTGATGAGAGTTGGACTGAGAGTGGTGTGTTTCAGTCTCCTGTTATTAGCATTTCTAAGTCTCTCTGCATTTCCTGTAATTTCTGCTCTGTGAAAGTGCTGGTGTGTTGTTTGCTGAAGAGATGGCTTGAGTCACACCTTCTCCGTCTCATTCAGTGCCAGGAGCCTGAATTCTATCTTGTCATAGATCAAGATCGCAGCCCTTGCGTTCTTTTTGTTTACATTTGCTTGGTGTATCTTTTCCGTCCATTTGTTTTTAGGCTTTTTGAATCAGTGTTCTAGGTGTATGTCTTTTACAGAGTTAGATTTTGTCCTGTGAACCCTTCTAAAACTCTTTTTGAGTTTTTGTCTTTATTTTTCATTGTAGTAGAACACACATTGCATAAAATTTGCCATCTTAACCATTCTTAAATATAGAGTTAGGAGTGTCAAGTACCTTCACATGGCTGTGCAACCAGTTTCCAAAACTCTTAAACTCAGCCCCTTAAACAACTCCCATCCCTCCCTTTCCCAGCCCCTGGCAGCCACCATTTACTTTCTGTCTCTGTGAATTTAACTGCGTTAAGTACCTCATATAAATGGAATCACACAGCATTTGTCTTGTTGTGACTAGCTTATTTCACTTAGCATAATGTAGCGTGTGTCAGAATAGCTTTCCTTTTTAATGCTGAAAAATGTTCTATTGTCTGTATGTATGAGATTCCTTTCAATAGATGACTTAAACTCATTTATATTTATTGATAATACTGTTAGGTTTAGTAGAACTCACTCACTTTTTTTTCTTTCTGTGCAGTGTTAACAAAAGCTGGTTTGATGTTGAAACCCTTAGCATTAGATGGAGAAGGGTTGCTTCAGCAGAGAGGAAGTTGCCATTTGTTGAATGAGCAAATGAGTGATGATCCTTGTCTCTTCTCTTCCTCTCTTCTGGTCTCTGTTTTAATCCATCCTGTACTGTTAGGTCAGATCAACCTGAAACATAGCCTTTATCCTTTCATTCTTCTGTCCCCAAACCTTTAATGACTCCTCATTGGCTGCTGAATTATGGTCAAACTCTTTCTCCCTGGCATCCAGTAACTTCTGCAGTCCCTCTCTTTAGCTGTGACACACCACCCACAGCTACTCTGCTAAGGCATCCAGTGCTTATGCTGAGTGGAATGATAGCTTTTCTGAAATTTTGTGCTGCTTTCTTCTCCCTCCATGTCTTTTCTTGGGCTATTTTCTTTGCCTGGTGTGTGCTCCTTTAAACCCCTGCCCCACCCAGTAGGCAGAATTTCTATCTAGCCTTCAAAAGCCATGGTCCCATGTCCTTCCTTACACTAACCTATTCATTTCTTTAAAAAAAAATTTTTTTTAAAAATTCATTTGGCTGCCTCGGGTCTTAACTTGTGTTGTACAGAATCTTTTGTTGCGGCGTGTGGACTTAGTTGCTTAGTGGTATGTGAGATCTTAGTTCCCTGACCAGGAGTTGAACCCATGTCCCCTGCTTTGCAAGACAGATTTTTTTTTATATTTATTTACTTTTAATTGAAGGATAATTGCTTTACAATATTGGTTTCCTTTCTGCCATACATCAACAGCAAGGCGGATTCTTAAACCCTGAACCATCAGAGAAGTCCCAAACCCATGTATTTATCTACCTGTTCCTCCTCACCCCTAGCCCTACATGTGTGTAGGTAGCATCTCCACTTGAATGTTCCTCGTGCACCGCAACTCCACGGCTCCATCTGGATTGCTCATGGCCCCCCATGCCTGCTCCCCTCCTGCATTTCCTCTCGGAATGGCATCACCTCCACTCAGGTGCCAAGCCAGGACACCGGCAGCCACCTGGGCTCCGCCTCCCTCACCCCGTTCATCCAGTCATAAGTCCTGTCATTTCTGACTCTGCTTTCCTTTCTGGGCGCACTTTGAGGGGTACAAACCCAGGAAGAGATGTGGCACGTGTCCCGGCCTGGCCTTGCTGGGGTCTCTGGCCCTGCCTCAGAGGCAGTGACACTGCCATTAGACGAGCCCTGGGTAAGTCCCTTGAAAGGAAGCCCCGTGCTTTTTAAACTTTGGCCCCCTGACTAACATGGTACTGGGCGCAGAGCAGGTGGCCAGTTGTAACAGACCTGCCAGGACGTGAATACAAATGAAGTCCTTTTGCATCGTAACCCAGACTTTCTCTAATCACTCTCACCTGCTTGCTCAGATCTCCAGCCTCATCCATGGAGTCGGCCTTGGAAGTTTCTGGACATCTCCTAGCAGCTTCCTCCCGAGTGTCCACAGTCACTGGTACCCACCACACTCCTCTCCCACCCAGGCCCCTTTGCTGGCACCTGTGACCAGGAATGCCACTTGGGGGGCGGGGGGGCTTCTGTATTCCTACTGGAATGCCAGCTTCGGTGATAAGAGTGCTGGATCCTGGACTTGGGCTGCCTGGGCGTGTTGGGTGGGGAAGAAAAGGGGGAAAGGTTGCTTCCCTAATCCCAGGCTGCCCTTGGCCCTCTGAACTCCGAAGTGGTCTCCCTGGGGTGTGTGTATGTATGTGTGTGTATGCGCGCTTAGTCACTCAGTCGTGTCTGACTTTGCGACCCTGTGGACTGTAGCCTGCCAGGCTCCTCTGTCCATGGAATTCTCCACGGGATCTTCCCAATCCAGGGATCAAACCCAGGCCTCCTGCATTGAAATCGGATTCTACACCACCTGAGCCACGGGGGAAGCCAGGCCCCGAAAGGCTGCAGCACAGTGGCTCCTCCACAGGCTGACCCCTGCCCCGGACGTGCTCTCTCAACTGCCCCCAGCGGCCGGGCACACGCGGTTTCTCTCCCCTCCAGGCTCCGGCCTCGGCTAAAGTCACCTCCTCTTTGCTGACGAGAGCAACAACAAATCCTGGGTTTTTGCTGTGTACCAGGCAACTTGACAAACTATTATTTTGCTCGTTTTAAGAATGAGGAAGCAAGCACAGACAGGTGAACTTAACTTGTTCCAAGAGGCAGACCAGAGGGAGACTTGGAACACAGGGAGTCTGGTGTCTGACCCCTAGCTAGGCTGCCTCAATACATTATTTTTTAAAATCAATCAGTCAGTTAATTACTTTGGTTGCGTCAGATCTTAGCTGCAGCACGTGGTATCTGTGTTGCAGCACGAGGCTTCTCTAGTTGCAGTAGGTTCAATAGTCACGGCACTCAGGCTCAGCTCCCCGACCCACGTCATATGGGGTATTTGTTCCTCGACCAGGGATTAAACCTGCGTCCCCCGCATTGGAAGGCAGATTCTCAAACACCGGATTGCCAGGGAAGTCCCTCAGTACGTTATTTTAACTAAGAGACCAGAGGGGCTGGAAAGGCCTTGTGCGGTGCTGAAGTGGCCAGAGAGAGCGCACAGGTCCTGTCCCAGTTTTGTCCTTTCCAAAGAAGGGCATGGCAACCCACTCCAGTATTCTGGCCTGGAGAATTCCACGGACACAGGAGCCTGGCAGGCTACAGTCCATAGGGTCGCAAAGAGTAGGACATGACTGAGTGACTAACACGTGTCCTCAATAAAGTTTCCTCCGCTTCCCCAGGAGTCCCAAGGAGAGGCTTAGACAGGATCAGCGGTTTTAAACATGGCCAGAGAATCCCTGCTGCTCTCTGACATGTTCACCCATTTGGGGGAAAATAAAAGCAATGTAGCAATCATTTCCACAAAAATTATTTAACTAAAAGACTGCATTCTTAACATCTTACTCTTCCTACTTCTGTTATTGGTGTTAACATATTCTTTCTCTAATGGAACGATAAGAAGTTGGTGATTCTAAAAAAAAAAAAAAATCCTCATTTAGAAAAATAAAAAGTTGGTCACCTTCTGTTGGTCCCCTCCATTTTTTCTAACTGTACAGATGCTTGAATCTCAAAGAGTGGGAGTCGTAGGACCTCACCTACTCTTAGAGCTGATATCCCCAGGGCTGTCATCCCCACAAAGCCAGAGCTGTAACCAGGGAGAGAAGCGAAGGGGGCGGTTTGACCTGTGTGGGTGTCAGGGACCTGGTGGGTGAACAAGCAGTGACGGTGAGGCAGGGGTTGGAACAGGACAATAGTCAATCATCAGGGTTCAGAGTTGCAGGAGGGAGGAGGGGCAGGCAGGGAGAGGTGAGGCAGAGAGAGGAGAGAGGGAGACAGAGGCAGAGAGGGAGAGAGATGCACGCAGGGCCAGAGGGAGGGAGGGAGGCAGAGTCAGAAAGACAAAGAGATACAAGCATGCGTATGTGCACAAGCGCAGGGGATCAGCAGGTAGAAGCAGGAGACGGTCCCAGAGACAGCAGCTGATGGTGACAGCGAGACAGTTAACAGGTATTCCAAAAGAGAGGAGAGACAGAGACAGGGAGCTAGAGAAATACGAAGAGAGAAAGCGACAGAAATCCGGGGAGAGAAATAGTGACGGTTTAAAGAAAGAGAAAAAAATGGAAAGAGACAAATACCTAGATGGAGGCTGAGCGAGGCAGACAGAGAGGAGAGTGGGCCCGACGGGCGGCCTTGCGGGTGGGGGCCCAGGCCTGCAGCACAGGGTGTGGGTGAAGGAAGAGGCCACTGCAGCCCCGGGCCAGGCTGCGGGGACAGATAAGCTCGCCTGCCAAAGGAAAGCAGGGGAAGGAAAGACGTTTACAAATCCCCCGGGGGGAGAAAGCCAGCGAGGCTGCCCCTGCCCTGGAGAACAATGGGTACTTGACTTCAGTGGGTCATTAATGAGACAATTAATGGAAAGAGTAACAGAGGCCTCCCCAGGGAGGACTTGGAGAGTGGATAAGTGGAATTATTGTGGGGCCAGAGCGGGTGGTTCTAAGGGAGGGCGGGGCTGTCCCTACTGTCCCAGATGTCCAGCATGCCAACTGCAGATTCCTGGCCTGGGGCCTGAGACTTGGGGCCTCCCCCAGCCCCCCACCACCCTATATGCCCTGTGCTCCCCCACCCTGGACCCCTGCCAGCCCTCAGATGGAGCCGCAGCCTCTCTATCCCCGTGTTTTTGACGCTCTTGCTCTCTCTACCTCAAATGTTACCCCTTGATTATCTGCATCCATGGAAACCCTACCCATTCCAGGGATAAATAAAAGTGGTGCATCTATCCAGTACAGCGAGTCAGGGCCATGTATTTCCATAAGCACAGGGCCCCCTTGACATATAATAGGCAGTGGAGAAAGCACACGGAGTCATATGAACAGTGTGACACCATTCATGTAAATTAGAATGACTCAAACACAAAGCATTTCTTTTTAAAATTATGCTTGTCTTTATTTTGCATTATAAAATTGTGTTTTTAAAGAGAGGGTT